GTCTGTTGATAAAATGTCAGCTGTATATTTTGGGTGTCTATACATACATCCGATTGTGAAGGATTTATTAAAATTACATTGAACAGAAATGCATAGGATTTCCACATTAGGAGAACAGGACACAGAATTTGTATTTACTTTCTTTACTTTTAATACTGACTTGGTTAGTATTGCAATTCCTCTTTGACTTGTGTTGGTAGCGTCCTCCCTGTAAATATTATATCCAAGAATTGACCTCAAGTTTTGATCTGGTTTCAGTCGGGATTCGGTGATGCACAGAATTTCAATATTGTGTACAGCCAAGAATGAGCATAGGTCGTGGAATTTCTTTTTAATTGAATTTATATTTATATGTGCAATTTTGAGGGCAGGATCAGGTTTGGTTTTTACTGGCTCATTCCTAAAAAATCGTCCTCTTCACTAAGATTTTGCAGGGCTGTGAAGGGGTTGTGCTGACCTATTTGGTGACGAGGTGAGTGCTGATTTGAGGAAGTTGAAGGAATCGAGGTAGAAGTATCTCCAGAGGCATGTGTTCGAGAGGGATCGCGATTGGGTTTATTGTTCGGAGCGGTCATGTTGCTTTCAAGACGTTGGTTACGCCTACCATCCTGAGCTTTCGACTCAGTATGATTATTGTTTGATAAATTTTGTGATGTTTTATTTTGATATGAAAAGCCTGACCGGTTTTGAGGGTTCTGCGAGAAGTTAGTGACGGATTTGTTACTCGATAAGCCTCTGGATTGTTGAGATTGCACGTTGGGGATAGGTATTTGATCGACTAGAATTCCTTCATTGAAGTTGTAGGACATACCCATTGCACATAAAGTTTTCTTTGTCCAGTCCATTTTTATGTCGCGACGGTCTAGACCTTCTTCTATTAGTTTCATTCTCTTCTCTCGCATAGCTTTATGATCAAGTCGCATTTTGAGTGGGAGATCCTCATTAATGTAAATTGGGTGTCTTACATTAAAACGATTGGTAAGTACATTATTTCTTTGAAGCACTGATAGAAATCGCACTTTTATTGGTCTTGGGAGATTTCCATTTCTTCGCCTAACTCTGTGAGCAGTGTCAAAGGAAAAGTCAGTTCTTATGACATGAGAAACTTTGGAATACAGTTCGTCAGGCTGTTCGAATTCATCGTCCTTTAGACCACTAAATATTAAATTAAGTTTCGATAGTTCTTTCCACAATTGCTGATTTTCACTTGACACTTTATGTAACGATTCTTTAACAGTTTGAAGCTCCTCTTCAAGCTCACTTAATTTACTGCTTTGTGCAACTAACGACTTATCTAGGCTGTCAAAACGTTGGTCGATTTTTTCAGTGACCTTTATAGAATTTTCTAGCAAAAGTTTAGATAGAACTGCAACTGTTAATGGCGCATTTTCAGGGATTGACGACACTGAATTTAATTCCATAATTTCATTCTCACTATCGCTGTCTACTACGGTGTTCTGATTTGGAGAAATTTTACGTTTTTTGACTGTTTTAGACTTTTGTACTGAAATTGTTGAGCTTTGTTCATTATTAGTATTTTTTCTCTTGCCTGGTGCCATTATAACAGCTGTGGCTTATTGTCACGCATTTTCATATCGCCATCTTAATAACCCTTGACCTTCTAAAGAACTTGTATACTTACAAATTCTCCGATTCATTAATGTCCAAGTGCCCACCGTAACACGCTTCAGATGAGACATTAACGATTCGACAAGCAGTACTTTTATCACTTCGGGAGGAAGTCTCCTTAATTCTTGGAAGCAATAAGTTGGTCAGTACAAAATGTGAGAAATAGTTGATTTGAAATTGGGATTCAAATCCGTCCCCAGTTATCTCGAACGGTGCAAGCATAGCACCAGCTGAAATTAAGGGGAAATAATTTCTATCGTTTGTTAATAAGTCTGTACTTTTAGTTTTATGTAGTTGGTTTATTCCACGTCAGAACAACAAATTTTCATGAAGTCATGCCTTGAATGAGACTGTCTCACTTTTCCCTTTCGTTCTGTGGTGGTGTCAGCGCCGTAGGCAGTCATTTCCCAATATTTTTCATGTTCGCATTAATTTGGTAAAACCAATTATTTTTGAGCTTTTCTTATTAAGAAATAACCTCATAAGAATACCAATTGAATGGAGTCAAAAATTTACCGTCAGTTGTTGATTTTGGTGTTGAAAAATCTTTTTATACATACTTTTCGGCTACAACTTACACCACTGATCTTGGGAACATTTCCTACCATTTAACCGTTCAGATTTTCTCACATTCACTTCTATGAGTCTCTAATGTATTAAATGCAAAATTCGAAAAACTGTCATAAAATCCATACCCATAATAATGGCATGTTCTGGTTTTCAAATTTTGAAAGATTTTTCCCAAAGGCATTCAGGAGCACGATGGCTATATGCCATTATTATGGGTCTGGCCGTACCAAGAGGTTGAAAATTGCATTAAAAATTGTTATTTTTTGACAATTTTCAAATTTTGAAAATTTTTATCACTAGAACAAAGCTCCAGAAATTAATCTTAAATGGACACAATATGTCTTTTAACGATAATTAAGGATTTGTGATTGGTTTTGAAAATTTTGAAAGTTTTTTTAAATTTAAATATTCCCACGACTTTTTAAATTAAATTAAATTCATGAAACACGTCTAGTTTAAAATTTTGTATGGTACTTATGCAAAAAAATTAAAAAATATCGGAAATATCGAAGCCCCATGAAATTGTTGTTTTGAAATGGAACAAACCAGTTATGGTTTTGCATAAGCTGATTAAACCCAGAGTGGTAACGAAAGGGGTAAGGCCAAGTATTCCAATATAAAAATTATGCAATTTTATGCAAAAATAATAGGTACATACTTAATATGTACCTATCCAACAGCTAATTACTTAACCTTCCTACCAATGGTTTATATATAAGTTGTCCCCGTTCAGATAACTTCAAATTCAGATACTTACAGATCCAAGTAGTTTTTATATGGTACGTAGAATATGATTATCCGATTTTGGGATTTTCTTACTTATTGTTCCTTTGATAGACTATTTTTGAAAATTTTTGTTATCCATTTCTCATTACACATAACTCATAGTCCTAGCAGCTTTTACATTGGCTAGTCTGGTTACGAATATTTTTGTGACTTTCCTGGGTGACTTTATCAACCGAACTGCGTTTTTGACCTAAATGCTGTGGAAGTCCATGAAATAGTTACGAAAAAATTCAGTCGACTTTGGTGTCGGATATAATAAAGCAACTATCTGCGATCAGTTATGTGCAGAAACTATGAAAGTCCAAGCACAACTGTATTTTTAGCGAAGGTTTAAGTGCCGCTAGTTTATTATGTGGCGCGCTTTGAAGTATGGTGCTATTCTTATTAACTGGTGACCTCGCATTCTTAAGATTATGGTGGAATTAGTTGGGCCACGCAATTAATTGTTGTTTTTTTCTGAAAGCCCATTAAATTTTCAATAAGAAACTATCAAAAAGATTTTTGAGAACGGCCGGGAAGCAGATTAATCGCACTGAAGGTAAAGCACTCCAAAATCGAGTTTTGCAAAACTAAAAACCAGTCACCGGATTCGACTCGCTCAAGACGTGGCAAAACTTCCAACCTGAATGAGGATCCATAACAACAATACAACCATTAATATAATGTATAGGGATTCCGAAAAAGTGGAATTTGAAAAAATTCCAGAACGACTTCCTATAGTAATAATCCCTCAAAAATTGAAACCCATTAAAAAAATCTATACCCGTATTCCTTCGGTACCATCCGTGCCGTTGCTCGGAAATTCAAAATTTCACAAAGCTGATTGACAATAGTTAAAGCTCATAAGTTGGGGACTATAGTCAGGGTAAAACAAACTTGACCCAACTATGTGAAAGATCCAGAGCGTTGACTTAAAGAAAGTTGCAAAAAAATTGATCACGAAATGTCACAAAAGTTTTCATAGTTCATGAGACAAATTATGTTAATCTAGACCTTGAAAATACTCTATGCAAGAAATTTTGTGACTCGCCCAACACTAAGGATGCTGAATATAATCATAAACTATGGGTCAAAAGCAAGTTCGATTAAAAACTCCTATCTAACAAACCAATGACAGTTTTGGTAGTATTTCATTATCCTATCTTTCATATGGTCCAATAAATCCAAAAATTTAAAAAACGCAATTCTGAAGAATCGACCAGTTCCCTGGGTCCTAAAGCTTTGTAGAAAAAATTAAAATTGATTTTGGCCTGATTAAGTAACATCTCTCTGAGCCAGAGTTTGCACCTCATTCTCTGAGGCCCAAGTCGTCGATTTTATGCTCCAGATGGATAACCCCAAAATCCCCCCAATTTTCAATGAATGTACAGATTTTGGGTTCTTTGTAGATGAATATACTCTAATGTTTTTTCTCAACCAAAAACCCAGAGGCATTCAAACGTCAATGGGGAAAAATCAGCAAGGCTATAGCAGAAGAGAGTGGAAAATAGATAATTTCACGGTTACGACGGAAAATCGGATTAGTGGCTAAAACTTGAGTGAAGCAAGACCTCAGGGCCAAAACGTAGATGGTGAAATAATGACCTACACCTGTTATCGATTTTAGCTAACTATGTTGAATAGGTCAAATTTTACAGGTCATTTTGTAAGTCACCAGTTAATAAGAATAGCACAATAGGTGTGGCAAGCGCAAATGGATTGTGGAGGTGAATCCTCCTTCACCTGTCCTAATTTCACTTACTACTACGACACATGCAAAGTGCACCAAATTATTTCACTGCACAGTTCTGGTACCCTACTCCTTTGACCAACTAAAGTTAATTTTTCAAAGTTAATTGACGCATTTATTAATGTACCGATGATTCATTTTGGCATCCATCGAAAATTTATTTTTTTCTTAAATCAGAATTACTTGATAATATATAGTGTAAAACGGGGCGCCTAGCGGCGCCCCCCTTCACATCGGCGCCCTGGGCAGCCGCCCTGCTTGCCCACCCCCAGTTTAGGGCCTGCACATGACGCACTGGCACGCCGATCCTACGGAATCCCATGTTTGTCACGTTTGTGGAAAAGATTTCCGCATCCTTTCCTCCCTCAAGGCACATCTCCGACTGCACGACGAATCTCTCCATCACGGGTGTGAAACCTGCGGAGAAAAGTTTAAGGTGATACCTTGAAGGCACACTGTGTCAAGGTGCATGGTGCGGACCCTGTGGTTTGTGAGGACTGGTAAAAATTTACAATTTTTGTAAAATTTTAGATAACTTAAATTTTATTTAATCATATAATATTTTTAATTAAGATTTAAAAACTGTTAAAATTGCAGCGGGGGAATGTTCACGACGCAAATTGGACTGAAAAAGCACAAGTTGACACACACCGGGATAAAGTCGCATAAATGTGATGTAAGCGAACGGCGAGGATCAAACTGTTTTTCTTGTAAACTCGACATTTCAAACTTTTAAAAACCTACTAAAAATTATTTCTTTCTTGCAATAATTACTAAAATTTGCAAAATTCCAAACTTATGGTTTCCGATGATCCGACATCTTGGCGGTTTGCGGGGATAACAACTTGATTTAAAGTTTCAAGCTTTCAAGAACTAGCCGTTCTCTTCATCAGGAAATTGTTTATAAAGATTTTTTAAAAGTCACAATCTAAGCGTTTTTTTTTTCATTTGACAAGTACATGATTGTTGAGTAGAATTGTTATTGGAAAAAAATGTTTGTTACTTAGTCACTTATAAAAAAATGGTTTATGATTTTTCAGCAATGCGACGCCGCATTTTTAGATAAGCGAGCTCTCACCTCTCATCTACAAACTCACTCTGATCTGCGACCCTACCCTTGCCCCCCTTGCGAACAAGCGTTCAAAAACAAGGAATACGTGGTAGGACATGTCAAGCGGATCCACACGCCCGGCTATGTCGTCCCCACCCCACACAAATGCCCCCAGTGTGGGAAATCCTTCCAGACTCCGTTCTTCATGAGGGCACACGTCCTCCAAGCACACACCGAGGAACGACCCTTCACCTGCGACCAGTGCGGAAAAGGATTCGTTATGAAGTCGGCGTTAACCCTGCATTTGAGGGGAAGGCATGGGATTGATGTGGGTGTGAGAAAAAATAGACTGCCGAGGTCCAAGAGGGACAATTTTGGAGGAGATGAAGAAGAGGGTCGTTAGCTTTGAGAAGAAATTGGTTTTTGCAAAATTCTACGTTACGGGTTTTTTGATGAGTTATTCATCCTATGTTGATGTTTAATTGTAGAGGTTTTTGTAAAAGTAAAAGATGTGGAAATCTGAAATGTGTATTTATTTTATGGATTTCATTAGCAGATTGTAATGTTTTTTTATTAACAGTTTGAGCCGCATGTGCATAATATATACCAACAGTGAAATAAATCGGTTCAACCATATTAATTCTTACAATACTGAAAGTGCAACTACATAAATTAATATGCTGGGTCGGGCTAAAAAATTACTGGTCCTGATCTGAAATTAAACTCCGAATCTGTTGCATTTCTTACCCCATCAAACTACATTCGCAGGTCATATTTAATATCAGCGTACGTGCCTAAAATTTCCCTCTTGCCCTGTAAATGAAAAACATATTTAAAAAATACAAAACAATTTTCAGTTCCACAACTATATGTATTGACGTCCTATTTACATGCTAAGATTTTCTTGGATGAAAAATACATGCAATTCGACTAGCTTTCCGACTGAATGTGTGATATTTATAATTACATTTTGTATGACATTTGTAAAAATAAGGTAAATTGAATAAATCTAAGTAATCCTGTTATAGATTTATATCAATAACAAAATATTTCAGTGCACTCGTAATGCATATAGGTATTATACTGTATAATTTATACATATTTGTAAGTATGCTTGTAAATACATATATCCAATGATAAACATTAATCTTAATACTGATTGTCTGGTTCATTCCGTCAAGATTTCTTGTTTGATTACATTTACACATTCCATGATACATAGTATACACAGCTCGAAATTGTAAGTTATAGACCGGATCATACTCTCCGTTGTAGCCGTTGTAGGAATGCATTAAAAAAAAGTTGTAACGTATTAAATACATACATATGTATACCCCCAGTGGTAACGTGCACTTTCTTATTTTAGGTTTTGAATTTTTATAATTTTCAGCAACATTAGAGTGTCATTGTATAATTCGTGTCAAACAACTTATTCCTAAATTCAAACCCCACTCTTTTCGCTCCTCCAATCATTGGTCCTCGTTCACCCTTTCCACTAATGAAGAAAAAGAGTGGGGTTTAAACTTGGGAATAAGTTATTTGACGGTCGCTTCAAACAGCAATGAACTATGTGTATACACTTGTATGTGCATAAATATGTAAGTTTGCCGGTTTGCCATAAAATTATAATAAGAGTTGTTTTGGAGGCTACTCTTGAGTCAAATTGACTGACGTGGAGTAATTTCCAGGAAAGAGAATTTCTGGTTTTAGGCAGTAGTTATTAAGACTGTCCCTTCTTAGTGGGCGTATTCTGCAAATGTATTTATTTAATCTGGAGCTTTATTCATGCTGAGTTCATTTCTTATTCACTCATCATTTCGACTGCGTTAAAAAAAATATAAAGTGTTTGAATTTACTGAAAAAATTGATTTATTTATTATTTTTGATTAGTACTCGTACCATCTTCGTCTGGTAAGGTCGCAATACAGTTACTTCGCATAAAAGTATCGACTATAATTTGAAAATCAGTTTATTCATTAACCCTTAATTAAAGAATTATTTTAGTAATCAAATTACGCGAAGAAGAAAACAAATTACAAATTTTAAGTAAGAGATTACAAGCTACAATTTATCATAATTCCAATTCTTACAAACCATACCAAATACTAAAAGTCTTTCATTTTATTTCCAGCTTCACCTCTGAACATCATGGGAGCAACTCAAACCACATTTTGCAACGAGTCAGAAATTCCGGTATCCACAGGCTTATCGGTCGTCTTCACGTACTACTTTACCAAAACACTACTACCCCAAGAGTGCGTGACCTATAAAGTTGGCCGGGTTTGGTTCACGGCCTTCGCACATTTTCCCTCTGTTCAAGATCCCAGGTTAAAAATAGCCTTTGGAGACTTTTACTTCCTTATGAATGAAACAACCGCAGTCGGACTGAGGATTGGGATGGTTGACCCGGATGAACTTTCTTACCTCACTGTGACCCCTGATGAGGTCAGACACATCGTTGAAGCAAGCCACGGTTTCATTACTAGCGATTTTTACAATATGTACAACACTTTTTGGATGGCATCCTTTAGACTTTATACCAGAGTTTTGAATTACTATGCGGGAAGTCACCATAAATTTAAAGTAAACGGGGGACCGACTAGGGTCGTCCGTAAGATTGATAAATATGGCAAACCGGTTTATATTTTTCCTCATTTGGAGAATTTCCGACCTTTGGAGTTGTGCATTGACTGAATGAATGGAAATATCAGATTAATATTATGAGACAATTTGAATCACGAGAATTTTATTAAATCTAGTGCAGCCTAGGAAATGTGTAAAAACTAGGAGAAGATTCTCCTGGAATAAATCAACCATTAAATACAAATTTAAACGCTTTATCGAACGCAATCCTTAATTACTAAAAGTATGTATGTATATGTTTTCCTACATATGTATAATATCTTTCGTGACAAACTTTAAATTGTACATGAATATCTGTACTAAATTGAAAATGTCAAAAACAAAAAAAGCCAAACTTAATCTAAACAGATCCTCAGTTACTAATTATATGAAAACGAGCAGGAGGTAAGTTTTTCTAAAGGAATAGCAAGTTTTTATAAGAAATTTGGTGTTTTTATTTCATGAACTTATTACATATGTATATAATGTCTGCATTAGATTCTTCATCAGATATAAATATATAATGAAATTGATTTATATGTATAACTTATATAATTATATAATTTATATAAGTACAGTAAGCTGTGCAATTACATATGATGTGTGTACCAGGCAAGTGTTTTACATTTCCCATATCTCAGGATGGTTCATTATTCGTAAACAATTTGTTGTGGCAAGATCCAACCAAGGAATTCTTGTTGTATCATGCAAATCTGTACTGTATATTTTCTGCTCCCAATTAACAAAATGAATGCAGAGTAAAAGTAAAAGTAAAATTAGGTTATCAAAAGGTTTTATAGTCCATTGAAATACATCTTGTAGTACACGGGCTAAACCATGCCTTCTTTGAATTTCAACGTCAGCGTCGTCCCTGAGACCGAACCGTCTTTCTGTAACGCTTATCTAAAAATATATAAATATAATGAAGGTCAAATTGGGAATTAAAAAAAGTAAAGTTGACAAAAAATTTTCTTGAAAATAAATGCTACTAGAACATTTGTGCATCATAATTTTGCAAAATATTTATTTTTTATTTCCTTCGCCTTCTGCGAGATGAATTTCATGTCACTGCTCTGCAACCCAGACTACCCGTCGTTTTGTCCTACGATTTTGTACAAAAATAGCACATTATGGGAAAATGTTAGAAATATTGCTCGTTTTCGAAGAGGCTACAAATGTACATATTTCGACCAACATGCTAAAAATAGGTTTACTCATATGTATATTTGTCATTCCTAAATATATGAATGACATGCATAGCTCGAGTTATGCAACAAACTGTAATTAATAAGCGTTCACATTCTTCCCCATTGTTCTCGGACAATGGAATAATATATGTAGTAATGTGAATGTCTTCTTCTTACGTCTTATGCTCAATTTCACCGTCACAAATATCCAGACATTTAGTCTAACTTCATGACTTCACGTAGCCAGCCACTCTCAAGTCAAAAATCTTCCCCAAAATTCCATCATCAAAATTAATTTGCACTTTGCTTTGGGTAAACTTGATTTAATTTATAATTTATTTGTCATAAAGTAAAACTTACAATTTCGCATTTTCTTCAGCAGAAAAATGCTCGCGTTGGGAATTGCGATACACCTCACAGCCATCTTAATTGAGGGACAGGGGACCTGCACTTGTCCTTCCGCAGCCAAAGTTCCCGCTGAGGTGCAGTTTATTAAATTCTATAACCCTTTAACAAACCGTCGTAAATACATGTAAAGAAGTAAATAGCTTCAGTCTCATTTCATCCCTACCACTCCCACAATATCGTTATAAAACTAAATTCTCCCGCATTTCATCCATATGTAGATTTAATGTCTGTAATAATCTCATTTTGCCCCGGGCACACCCCCTGGCGCCAATGGGGGTGGTACGATTGCCCCCAAAAGTAGATAAAATCCTCCTTCCGGGATTATATGTACGATCCGATTTCGATTATCTCTATATGTTATCCAACAATTCTGCTGACGGACAGACAGACAGACAGACGGATAAAATCTTCTAATAAATTCACATGTAAATATCTGTACGTTTCTCTATTCCTGACCGCAGGACTACGAGGGGAAGGAGTTGCATTTTTGCGGCACTCAGGTCACTGGTCAAAATTGAAGTGTTCAGGACCTGACCAGCCAGCCTCCCAGGTGCACATGTGCGAGGGGCAATGTGTTCTTTCAAAATCCAAGGACAAAACGACGCTTAATGTCGGTTGCCTGAAGATGAAATTCATCTCGAAGCAGATGAAGGAATAAATAATAATAAATATTTTGCAAAATTATGACGCGGTATGTTATATGAGAAATTAAAATAATATGAACACTTAAAGATTCAATGTACTATTTTGCAGTTTTTCGTTTCTGATTTTTATTTTTCTAGTTCCTTATAAATGTATGTATGTATGTAAATGACAAGCATTAATTACTAAGATTCGTCGCTCACTTATGTATGTACACGTTAATTTTCATGCTATCCATTACAAGTGTTCTGTTAGATATAGATATGGGCTTAGATTTAGGCTCCAACTTATTTTGTAGAAACTTCCCACCTGTCTTGATGATACCTCCCACTAGCTGAAATCTTCACTATGTCGGTTTTTTTAGCCACAAAATTAGCTAGTGGTAGTCACTCATCCTGGAGCTTTTTTTCGAAACTTACATAACCTCTATTTCCCGTTTTTTGGATGGTAAAATTCAAACTTGATGAGTTGATGTACTTGTCCCATCATCTTGAACGAACGAACACATTTGTGAGCAAAACCGTACCTGAAGCAGGGTTCGGAAAACCCTGGGTTTTTCTAGAAAAACCCAACCCCGGGGGTTTTTCCGGGGTTTTGGGGGTTTTTGTGGGTTTTTGGGTTTTTGTGGGTTTTTGTGGGTTTTTGTAGGTTTTGGGGCGGGCTGAAGCAAAATTCCTAAAATTACATATTAGAGTAAAACCAATTAATTATTCGAAATCAACAAAGAATTTTCAGAACTTTAATTGACTTTGATTATTAAGTCAAAAGTTCATGTTTAACAAGCAAAACAGAAATAAAACCATGAATATGCAATGATACTTGGAAATTCAAGTCACACATAAAAGTACTCAGAATTTCATGCTGAATCCGAAAATTAAATTTAAATTGGTTTAAGTTGTATTTTAAAGAATCTTGTTTCAATCTGCCCCAAAATTTTACAAAAACCCAGGAAAAACCCACAAAAACCCACAAAAACCCGCAAAAACCCCATTAAGCATTAGGGTTTTTCCGGACATTTGATACCCCAAAAACCCACAAAAACCCCAAAAACCCCAACCCACAAAAACCCGGGGTAGCGAACCCTGAGCTGAAGGTCGTTAGCCCCTTCATAAAGCTCGTATTGTCGTGTAAAAATTTTTAATTTCAATCAGAAAAAAAGTTTGTATGCATTTTTACGGGAATTTGTTCATAATGGGTGGAATTCAATATTAGGCAATGCCTAGGCAAGAGAAATTTTCCCAGTCAAATTTTATTTGTATTCAATATTTGCTGCTTAGGCAAATTATAAGCAAGTGCTGAGCAAAATATCTAGGACTTTTTGTATTCAATATGCACAAATTCCTAAATTTTTTGCCTAAAGGTATTCCAAAGCAAAAAACTTGCTGAGCATATGCTTATCTACCCAAATGCTTATCATAGCGTATATTTAATTCCACCCAATATCTTTAATTTAGGAACCAGATAAGTGGGGTGCCTACCACTAGCTAATTGAGTGGCTAAGCAAACCGACATAATGGAGATTTCAGCTAGTGGGAGGTAGCGTCAAAATAAGAGGACAGTTTCAGCTAATCAGGTGGTGCATTAAATTTAGGCCATAGATATGTATCACAATTAATGATCTCGTGTGTTGCTTGTAGGTACATATGTATGTATAGCTTGAAAAACCCTTTAGAGGTAGCCCAAGGCAACCGTACGACAAACCCTGTTTCCATATTTACACGAAATTCAGTGACAGAGAGAGAAAAACTCGGATTCTGGTGGATACCACCACCATCGCACGACAGTGCCGTATCCGTCTCGCTTTTTTTTCTCTCTGTCAACATTGCAGTCATCTATCATATCACATCACTAATTAGTGCAGAATTAATTATTATTAATATTAATAATATTAATAATGTAATATTAAGTTTCTATGTTTGTTACGGCCTTTGCCATACAAGATGGCCCCCACGGAGACTTTGACCTCAAAAAAGTCATGGTTCCGGTCATTTCTCTTCGGACAACAAAAGCTGAGAATATAGCTATTTTGACGTAGACAAATCTGGCATCAGGTTGTCAGAAGAGAAATGACCGGAACCATTAGTTTTTTAACGATTTATGTGTATGGGAAAAAAAGCGCGAATATTCGAATTTTGAAATTTTTGATGCATCAAAATGTTCTTATTCAGGGGGGAATTCGAATGTCAAATGCAAGTTGGGGCCTAATTCTTGTTGTACCGAGTGTATACTAGCTTTCTCATTTTTCCCAGTTTCTTGTCTCAATTTTTAAAGGGGGTGTGGTTGCATACAGTTCTTAAATTCCTATACTACGTGAACCCTTCCACCGAAAATTAAATTTGTAATAATTTTTATGGAAATCGTTGAGATCGATGCGAAAAACATTTATACGTATCCTTCATTTTCCATCTTTATTTAATTAAAATAAGCATAACGTGGGGGGTGCGCATCGAAAAAGTCTTTCATTTATTTTTGTGTCCTTCATCGACTTGGATACGTACATATGTATGTAGTTTACAAACGCAGATAGGGACAAATTTGTAAGGCGCTGGTCGTTTAGCTTTTTTAAATGAAAAATGTAAATTATACATGCTCTGGGAATACAATTTAAATGCCACTGACTAATAAATTCTGTACATATTACAAACGCAGAAATGTTGCACACATAATTTTAAATATATAATTTATTAATAAGATGTGTAATAATTTTAACACTTAACACAAATTACAGGAAAAGGGTGTTCCCTTGTACACTGTAAATAATCTGGTAATCAACGTCACCAAAACGTACAAGTATATTACTCTACAAAAGTGGTAACGGTAAGTTGTACCATGTGGTAATGGCTTGGTAATAAAGTTTTACCATCATGGTAACGAATTTTTACTACCTGGTAAAATATTATTACCAAATTTATTATCGAGAAATCATTACCTGTGTGACTTTACCGGATTATTAAGAGTGTACATACCTGTTACCTATATTTACTGATATTTAACTAGAATGCATAAATATTTTTGGGGATATTAGGGACGAGCTTGCATTGCCACCAAAAACAAAGTTAGGAGAAGAAATTGAGCCTGAAAATTCATTCCCAAACTGCAAGACCAGTATTTATGTATGTACATACATAGCTCGGAATTTTTTAAATAATTATGTATGCTAACATGCGAACTACATAGTACTGAATATCCCCATCGGTTTAGTGATCATCTAGATTTTTAATATTGCCGCCGCGAAGGAAGTACTGCCCTAGATGGGGCTCCTTCTTCTTCGTCATCTTCCTCATTGCCGAGATAGTGACACGGGCCGAGCTGAAGCCTGTTACGGTTGCCACGCAATGGACGATGATCCAACGTACGCCATCTGGTTTGACCTTGCAAACCTGTTCAAAAATGTAGTTTTCATTCAAAAGTAAGTCATGCCGATTTATGATTCAAGTTTTTCATTCACATTTACTCATTTTCTTTCAAATTCATTTCATTTCGTTACGCACTTCATCGGACTTCATTTCTTCGCCCCATGTAGTAAGCATGGGGTGAAAATGAAATTAGTGAAGAATCCTTTCATTCATAGTCACTCATCCGAAATGTCGGAATCCTTCAGCCATTTTCATTCAAATTACAGAAAATTCATTTTCATTCACTATCATTTACTGTCATAATCAAAAAATCTTTACTTTCACAGTCACTCATCTGAAATCCTTCAGACATTTTCATTTAAATGACAGGAATTTCATTTTCGTTCAGAGTCATTCACTATGAGAATAAATCAAATGAATGATGATGAACAGTTATATATATATACCTTGTCCCTCGGGAAATCCGACGTTAAGATTGTACGTCACGGAGCTTGGCCGATTCGCTAATTTCATTTCTTTAATGCTCAGGTCGTACTCCAACTCCATCTTGTACGCTTGAAGTTCGGTTTGATCAGCATGGACGCGCCTGAGATATGCAAGTCGGCCTTCCTGCATTTTTTCTTGGTGGTGATGGTCCTCGTCCATCATTCGCTGCTGGTGCGCCCTGTCCGCTGCCGCGCTATCAATTTGGCTTTTAAGCTAGACAAAAATAAGGTCGCAATTGCATTTAATAGTTAATATGTAGTGTACCTTTTTGAATACCAAATGCACAGGGAATTCTATGCTAACCCAACTATTTATACACTAACAAGGGAACCTCATCCACTGTCCAATCCCGATTGCCTTCCAAATAGCCTTAATCGACAGATAATTTAATGAAACTAAAAGTTTCTTATAGAACATGCGGTGCAAAATCGCGTTTTCGCGAAATATTTAGCGAGAGCTGCACCAAAACGTGCAATTTTCCCAATGCTTTTAACATACCCCACCAGCTTTTTCGAATGATGAAATGAACTTTAGAGAATATTGATAAGTTATATACCTGTCCGCGTAATTTCAGCCCGATCACGAAATGCAAAAAAGTTATGCTAAATAATGCAATTATTTGCCAATTTTTGCAAATTTGAAAACTTTTGAAAAATTTTGAAACAATTTGAAAACTTTTCAAAAAATTTGAAAAAATTTGAAAAAATGTGAATTTTTTCTAAAATTTTCAAATTTTTTCTAAATTTTTCATATTTTTTCAAATTTTTTCAAAGTTTTTGAAAATTTTTCAAATTTTTTCTAAATTTTTCAAATTTTTTCAAATTTTTATTTTCAAAATTTTTCAAATTTTTCACATTTTTTCAAATTTTTTCAAATTTTTTCAAATTTTTTCAAATTTTTTCAAATTTTTTCAAATTTTTTGAAAAGTTTTCAAATTGTTTCAAAATTTTTCAAAAGTTTTCAAATTTGCAAAAATTGGCAAATAATTGCATTATTTAGCATAACTTTTTTGCATTTCGTGATCGGGCTGAAATTACGCGGACAGGTATATAACTTATCAATATTCTCTAAAGTTCATTTCATCATTCGAAAAAGCTGGTGGGGTATGTTAAAAGCATTGGGAAAATTGCACGTTTTGGTGCAGCTCTCGCTAAATATTTCGCGAAAACGCGATTTTGCACCGCATGTTCTATGAGAAACTTTTAGTTTCATTAAATTATCTGTCGATTAAGGCTATTTGGAAGGCAATCGGGATTGGACAGTGGATGAGGTTCCCTTGTAAATAAAAATTAGTAAAATTTACTCAATGCTGAGGAAAAAAGAGGATGACACAACCAAAAGGTAGAATTTGTCTAACCGTTGTGCAAAATTTGAACACGTTTGACTTAATATTTCTGAAACACTTTATAAAATTTATAAAATAAATACGTACCTTTTTTTCCTCTAACCCCATTGTTCGAGAAGTACCGTAAACACTGGCTGCTGCTCCAGCTAAAGCTCCAAACATTTGTCCCTGGGCCTAAATCATTCCCAATGTTAATATTTTGTAAGGGGCCGTATATGAAGCATTTGACCGATTTTTTGAGAATTTTAACCGCTACCCCCAAGGTGTTACCGTTCCCCTAACATGGGAAGAATAGGATGGCTTGACCCCCCCCCCTCCCCACCCCTCAAGTCGATCACATGCTTTCTGCACAATCCCTAACATGATACGAATTTACATATTTCAGTGAAGTTTACCTGGCTTGGATTCGAAAGGAATGAAGGCAGACCATATTTCCCGTCCATTGCTATAACTTGCGGGATAAAGTACCCAAGTAAGTGACAATTAGCTAATTGATTGCTAAGATAGGAGCTTAAAACCGGCGTTTTAAGTTTAGCAGTACTTTAAGCAGTCTCAAGTAAAGGCTAGCTCCCTCAAATGAATCCTTGCAATTTTGCGATTCAGCTTTTTATACGATACGACGTGATAAAACCGTTGCCCAAATACAAACCGGATGCACATATTTACTTTTTTACAAAGACCTGAATCACAGCAAAAGGTAGTGCAACCGGACGTTGTGATGCGATATGAAACGTTGTCTAATAGGTGAATGAACTTTATCAATATTTGCACAACCTTATTTCCATCATCAAAACTGAATGAATGATCATAACGATTCATAATGATTGACGTATAAACCACTTGCTGATTGACCGACTGACCCGATTTTTCATACCATCTTCAAGTTCCATGAGTTGCAATTGATACGCTATTTCTCCATCATCTTTTGTGTCAAGTTCTTGAATTTGGGCTTCCTCAATTAGCGATATCATTAAATCTTGATCCACGCCGAGATCGTTATCGATGTTCAACCAGTTTTCTCCTTTAGACTTATCGGTTTTATCGATATGGTTATTTTTTTTATTTTCATTTCCTCCCAAACTGGCAGATTCGATAAGATAATCAATTTCCAAGATCAATCTTTCCAATTGGATTTCTCTTTCGTGCTTCCGTTCCAAGTGGCGCAGAGTCATTTGCAGCATCCGCTCTTCGTGGTGGTGCAAGCAACGCTGAAGGGTAGATTCATGTAATCTTGCGTAATCTGCTTCCAGAATGTCTTTCTGTAACTGGATAAATAATATGGGTAATTTATATATGCGGTCTTGTCTTTGTTTATGAAATTTGTGAAAAAATATGAAATTTCAGGTTAAAAGTGCACTCTTAGAAATCCAGTATTAAAATACTACCAAGAAGTTCATTTATTACTCTACCAAAGTGGGATTGATAAGTAATACCGTGTAGTAATTGCTCAGGATTAAAGTTGTAGATACCTTGTAGATATGAAATTTTGCGGACAGGTATGATTTTAGTACCAACAGGTTAATACCGAGTGATCAATACCTGCCTGACCATACCAGATTTCTAAGAGTACACAGTTGAAAAACGGGTTAATATTTGTACAGGATAAACATTTACTATTTTTGGCAGTATTTGCGATTTTCGTATTTGTAAACTAATAATTTATTATTTTTATGTCCAAAATAATTTAGAAGCAATTTACCTGTTTCTTCTTTACTTGGAGATCGCATAGAGTTGCTACAAGTTGAGTTCCAGCACTAATCGCGCCTATAATTGCGAATGCCTGAAAAATTTAAACGGTAAATAGTAGCCTTTTCTAACATTAGTCATTGCTTATGTTGTAGATGCAAACTTACAGCCATTGTCGTGACGCTCTTGAGTGTGCTTTGTAAAGAAAGCTGAGACGAGAAGTGTGAAAATGCATGTATATAGTTGTACTGAAATACATGTTAATCGAGATACTGGAAAATATATCAGTAGATAAGGTAAATAATGTACTTACATATGTACTTTATACATGATTTGCAGAGTAATCTTTCGTTTTGGGTTTACTCAGTATCCTCATATCTACTTATTCGTATTTGCATCAGGGTATTCCGACCCAGGGTTTTATTGGGTTGGGTTTTTTGGGTTTTAATGGGTGGTTGAAGAATAAAACCCATTGGGTTTTACCATGTTAAATGGGTTTTATTTGGGTTTTAATGGGTTTTATTTGGGTTTTAATAGTTTTTAGCTGGGGTTTCCCTTAAAACTATATTCTAAAAGCTGAAAAATCTATCATACGTGAGACCAAGTTGTTTTACGGCAGCTAAGCAGTTTAGTTCTTTAATATTGTAAGTTTTGAAACCAGGAATAAATCAACGAACCCATCCCTAACCATCATATGTTTCAAGTGTACAAAAAAGTGATTTCGGAATGTTTAACTGATCATATATTATTTAATACTACTCTCGACCATAATAATTGCTTTTTACAGATATTATTTTTTTGCTCATAAAAATGTATTTCGTTGTTCATCAATACTCAATTTTTTCCAGAAATAATAATACACATTAAGATCGCTAAAAACTGTTTTAAATTTTAAACATTAAACTTAGAAACACTAAACTTTGAAACACTTTCCAAATGTTATGAATTTTTACTCAACCACAAATGCCTTGGTAGCTTTTGCTGGTTTGCATTGCACTCCAATAGGGACATATTTAGGTTCTATTGGAGGTTGAAAAAGCTTTAATTTTATTCTAATTTCCAGTATGTATGTATGCTTGGAAATGTGTCTTCAAGTATGGTGGACATTTTCACATTAACTGCTTACAAGACAGATTTTTTCTGTTATGGTCAACTTGGATTTCATTATGATGAGAGGAAATATTCAAGAAAAAGTATTGATTATGGTCGCAAATATGTAGTATTAAATTATGATTAGTTATTAGGACCATTTAGGAACAGATACATATGTATGACTGGAATTGGATTGGAATAGTTGTGAAAATGTTTTGTCCAGTGTATTACTTGTGCAAAACCTAATAAAACCCAATAAAACCCATAAAACCCAATAAAATCCATTAAAACCCAAAAAAACCATTAAAACCCATTAAAACCCCTGGGTCGTTACTTTTTGATTAAAACCCTGGGTTTTTCCGAACCCTGATTTGCATACATAAGTATGTACATATCTACTATATATTATTGAGTAAAAAGAAAAGTTTTTAAGCCGTATTCATACAGGTGACAGGACTACTTATACCAAGGCGATGTATTTATATGAATAGTGTATTATAAACTTGTACTTTATTACGACCGGAAAATTTAATCATTTAACTTTAAAACGGGTTACACGTCAAAGTTTCATTTTTTCAAAAACAAAAATTTCGATTCGCGAATATGGACCGTCAACAAATTATGTCACACGAGGGAAGGGAGTGCAATGATCCAATCGTGTCTGTGTGACACGTGGTCAATAGGACGGGGAGAGGGGGTCTAGAAGTTCGCGATTTTTTGCATGACATAATTTATGTATGTTCCCATATATGTAAATAACAAATTTCACATTTTTTATCATTCTGTAAGTTAGTTTTGCTTTACGAAGAAAACGTTGCCTACCGAAGTTATTTTGAGCGTATTGTTTTTGGTGAGACAAATTTACATAAATGTAAGTAGTTCAATGATCAATAAATTTATCTTATAGCGTGAAAAGAATGCCAAATTGGTGAACGATGCACCCATATTTGGATATTTACAAGTTGTAAATTCCAAACCAATGATGGATCTTTATTACAATGAAGCATGTATGTAATACACTACTGTACACATATATGCACACACACTCTAAATAATTTGGAGACAAATCGTCATCCCCATATTTATTATAAGACTCTAAGTATTGCTGAGTAATTATAATTGGAATTTATGGCGGATTTACTTTTCAAAAGGGTAACATAATTTTCAAGAGTGTACAAAGACTAGTCTTAGGTCAGGCTGTATCTCAATAATTACTGAATTGCACATTTTTTACATACATATAATTATCACGAATGAACAAATTTCTTTGTTGCTTGCTGGTCATACGCATGTGACCTTAATGAATGCAAATATGCGAGGCACACGTAATTAGTGACCGAGGAAGCCGTGGGAGACATCAATTTTTACACGAAATTGCACAATTAAGTAATTTATAAAAATCCACGTGAATATCACTATTACGTAATTATTCTTATTTGGACAATTTACATAACTTCGTCAAATCCGGGTGTTTTGGTCAAATAATTTATAAATTGTTACAGAATAAAAGGACGAAACCCTTGATCTGCACAAGTGGGACGTTGTCCCTCGGTCCCCAGCCTTCCACGGCCACTGTACATACTGATCGCATTACATCTTCCTCATTCCTGCTACATACATATGAATTTTTGACATTTATCACTTGTCTCGATATTAAATATCATATCTTGACCTAGCACAAATGTTATCAGGGGACGTCCATGTATTTCATCGTAAAAACCTACAGTGCAGCTTTGCTTAGCCCGAGCCAGGGTGGGTACAACTAGAATTTGTTTACCAATCTTTACGCCAAAATTCAGCTTAATTGAGTGATTTTGCAAAATCAGTATGGGTCACCCCACCGGGTACCTCTGGGTCAAAATTTTCAAAATTGTATATCATAAACTCTCAGTATAAGCTGTTATCGACTTCCATACCAAATTTCGGCTTAATTGAACGATTTTGAAAAATCAGTTTGGGTGACCCCATAGGGTCCCTCCAGATAAAAATTTTCGCAAATTCACTTCATATCTTTTCATTATAAGCCATTAGTTACCTATGTACCAAATTTCAGCTTTCTATGACAATTTTGAAAATTTGATGCATAATAACCCCACTACCTACATGACCCCCACCGGTCAACCACTGGACCGATTCGGCTCATCTTCGAACTTGATTTGTCTTTTGAGTAGATATAGATGTGGTAAAAATTTCAAGTCGATCGGTTGAGTTTAAAAAGAGTTATCGCGAAGACAGACGGACGGACGGACGGACAGACAGACATAACGGGTACATAAGCCCTGGCTCGGGCTAAAAAGGTGGGCGATTGGTTTTACGTCGCCGATCTCATCGCCGAGCTTTTCTGGTTGAACTTATTCCCTCTTAAGTTTCCTTTAAAAAATAAAATTTTGAAAATTTCCATTTAGCAAAAATCGTTTTATTTACAAAGTGCTAGCACGGATTTGCATAAGTAGATCAAGATGGTGACGGGGTCCATTCGTTGCGTAGGGTTCGAAATTAATCCCATAATTTGTGCATTGCTCCTCCCACAAGTAATTTCCCATCCGGTAGTCTTAGGAGAGCCTGTTCCTGACCCAGCAATATTTGTGGTAAGTTTTGCGCGAAAAAATATTTTTTTAAATAAAATAATTCAAAAAATATTTCTACATTCAAAATTGATTCGGTTAAAAAATTAGAAAAACGTGTGCATGCATTATTCATTTTTTTATATTTGAAATTAAATGTTTATTTATTATTCATTTTTGAAATCGTTTTATCTCAAATTCTCCTTATTTTCTCAATACACGCCATGTGTTAAGCATAGCATGTAAAATGAATGATGAATAACATTATTCATTCATTCTTCATATCTCATTCTTCTGCTAATACATGTGTTTTTTATTTTGACTTCCAGAGTGGACCACAGCCCTACAAATCTTTCCTTCTCCTCCTCAACAACGGCAAGAGCCTATTGTAAGTAACAAACAACCCAATTAACCAAGGTTGGTCCTCAAGAACTTATGAGGATATCTGGACCAGGCGCTTAATTCATCCTGCAGATATCATCATAATGACGACCTTGCTCTTAGCGATATCTTCAGGATTACGAAATGTCCCACTTACTGATCTCCCCAGGACGTCACTTTAGGATGTCTTTAGGAAATGCCATAACAATGCTCTTCAAAATGTCTCAATTTTTCCCCAAAATGGTATTTTCAATAATTGTACAATTTTCAATTAAATGCTCTACTTTTTATTCATCCAACGCATCAAGTCAATAAACAAACAATTATAATTTAATTTCAAAAATATTATAGTTAAATTTGAAGTTCTGAATTGACACCACCTTCTCCAACACCAGCAGACTTAGCACTTCTTTCACGTTTTGCAATCTAAAAGAAATAAAAATTTTATTGTCAAAATATTTATTTTATGCTTAATTTTCAAGAGAAATAAAAATAAAAATATACCTCCGCTTTAATCCTATCCGGTGCATGCTGAAGCCAGGATGCGCCTTTCACCTTCAAATCTTTCGCCGTCACACCCTTCAAGTACGGATTCTTTTTGAGCACATCTAGGAAATTAAAAGAGTCTTATCGAAGTTTCAAATGGGAATACAATATGATTAATCAGTCATAAATTACCAAAAATAACATTTTTTATTTTCAACTGTTTGAAGGGTCGCTTCGGATTGATTTTCCGTATCCCTTCCCATGCAAATTGAAGGGCAAGCTCATTAGTGAATAAGTGTTCCATAATCAGGCGAATCGCTTCCGGGGGTGTTGATCCGCCCAACCAAGTAAGGTCGTCAACCTTAAAAATAAAAGAAAACTTCACACTCAAAATTTTACTAATAAAAACTTTAGTAATTTTGGTAAAAAGTAATCCTACCAATTTTGTCTGTTCCACGGGGTCCACAATCTTCTTTTCCAAGTCGTCAAGTTCAGACATAGTGCTCAATGGAAATTTGTACGTAGTTTGAATTTGCTGGACACTTTTAGAGGGATTCTGGAGCAAATTTTTTGTCAACTGCACCAGAAGTTTTCCTTGCAGATCCGACTTCTTGTGCAGGCGTTCCAATGACTTCACTACGTAGTCTTCAAAAGCGGTGATCCCAGCAGCACCCGACGAATCTATAATTATTGCATTTTTGTAAATTATTATAATTTTTAATGCGATAATAAATTAAGATATTG